ATGGATGGATGATGGTAAATACTTAAATGGTAATCAGTATTTTTTTTTTTCTTTTCAGCAAGCTGATTTAATCCGGGCCCAGGAAAAGCATCGTCAGGAGGTCCTTCAGTCTCTTTTAGAGGTTTGTTTTCCAAGGATGCAGTGGCAGTATCCATCACTGTGGCCTTGACTGTTGTTTTTCATGTAAGGTGGCAAATCCCATCATTCTCCAGCTAAATAAATGCAAATACCGAAGCAGTTAAACATCAGATAGATCATCAGAGATCCTGTTTTACTCTAAATGTGACTGTGGCTGGTTAAAGCTCGGACCGGGTTCAGGTAGTTTCAGGACAAAGACATGAAGAGGCAGGTTTATGGTAACATCTGGAGCAAAGCAGTGTGTGTGGATTGTGATGATAATTGCTGGGATGAAGCATGATTAGATGTCAGACTTCCTCTGTGAACCACTGTTGGCTTTTCCTGAATCAATATCAGCGTGACGCAGAGCCGGAGTCGTTCAACGGACCCAACGGCACCGACGTGTCTGCAGAGAGTTCTGTCAGGTAACACCGTGACCACCAGCTACGCTTTATCCTTACTGCTGTGCATCACCGGCATCACTTCAAATGTCTTTTGTTTGTTTGGGGCTGATTTTTGTCGTTTTCGGAGCAGTTCTCAGTTTATGTCTCAAGGATCGGGCCAGCAGGCGGGGAGCAGCTGCGTGGACTCCATGGTGGAAGCACCGTGGGCTGCAGCAGGACAAGGCCTGACGTTCATAGGCTATCAGGTAGAGTGACGCCTGTCATTGAGAAAGCTTAATAACACGTGTATTGTTTTTCCATCGCCTCATCTGAACACTTCTCTGTTACAGGACTCATCAAACGGTGGAAATGTCCATACAGGTATAGTGAATATATGACTCAATGTAAAGTAATCACAGAAATGCGAAGAGCGAGCTGAAAATATGCCGTATATGTGGGCAGACAAACGTTAGGGAAACCTTCAGTGTGTATCAGTGCACAACAAATGGCCTCAAAGTAAGAGCGACTTCTAAGAAGTTGAGTTAAACCTCATTATAACTATTATTACCTGTATTTTGCTCTGCGACGGAGCGCTACAGCTCATTTGCTCTGGAGTTTAGCGAGCCGAACAGCCTAATGATACTTCATAAAGATGTAATAATTCTTTGTGACGGTAGCGGAGCTGCTCTTTGTTTCAGGAAAAGCCGGGAGCCTCCACTGTAACGATGAAGGGAAACCATGAAACACTCCATGCACTTATTTTTAATTTAACTCGCATCACACACAGTTCAACTCATGCGTACAGATGTCATACATATCGTAAAGTATAGAAGACTTAAAACACAAAAAACGTACTATATAAATATGAGTGACGTATATTATAATGTCTGAAGATTCTCAGTCATCCAGGTCATGGTTGTTCTCGTAGATTAATCGTAGCAACTGCTTGAGTTCCTTGAAGACGTTCCACCTTCATCCAAGAGGCTTCATCAGCTCTGACTGACTAGTTGGGAGTTCCACATACTGATGTCCTGAAGGAGACATTAACACCTGAGTTTCAGTCTTTTGTGACTAGGTGTGGATGTGGTTTCATCTTCCTGGGAGAGATCTTAGGACTGAATTGTGAACAGGTGAGAGGTGATGCCTCAGACCTCCACCTCTGTTGACAGGACTCAGCAGTCCACCTGCACCTTAAGGACACTCATTTGGAGACAACGATGTACAGATGTTCTCCTGCAGGGAGGACAGACAGTTTGAGAGAGGGGCTGAAAGAAGCCATCTAACTGGAAAGACCTTCCCTCAGCAGAGGTGGAGGTCTGAGGCATCACCTCTCACCTGTTTACAGCTCAGTCCTAAGATCTCTCCCCAGGAAGATGAACCCACATCCACACCTAGCCACAGAGACCCTAACGAACCCCACTGTGTCAGGGGGAGCAACAAACCCCCAACTGAAACCCAAACTCGGATGTGAATGTCTCCTTCAGGATGTCAGTATGTGGAACTCCCAACTAGTCAGTCAGAGCTGATGAAGCCTCTTGGATGAGAGGTGGAACGTCTTCAAGGAACTCAAGCAGGTCCAGTTGCTACGATTAATCTACGAGAACATATAAGTGAATAATATAATTATTTAAAAATAGAGGCTGTTTTTAGTTGTCAACTAACTCCAGTCCAATTGCAATAAATTATTTAATGTGATCGTTGCCTTTAAAACGGCACCGGTTCTACCACTTGTGCGCAGACTTTAGTACTTGGCAGGCAGGTTGATCCGAGCATCTTGGGGAACTTGTCACAGTTCTGAGGATTCTGGCTGTTTCAGTGTCTTCTGTCTCGTCATGCAATCCCACACGACACAGGTAGATTGAGATCAGGGTTTTGTGGGGTCCACGCCTTCTGTTGCCAGAGGATGAGTCAGTGTAGTGACGTGTTGCTGTATGTTTGGGGTCGTCTCGTACTAAAGGCAGAACTTGGGAACAGTCGCACAGCTCAGTAATGATGTTGCAGAATGAGCGCCAAAAGCTTTTGTATTGAACTGTGTCTCACATTTGAGTTAATGAAACATTTGCAGGTTTGCTTTTTAAACTTGTGCAGAAACCTGGTCCCTACGAGTTATAGCGTGAGCCTTATAGCCTCTGTCTGTCTGTCGTAGGCGCCGTCCCTCCGTGGCTTCAGGACGATCCTCTGGAGGGAACCTCTGGAGCTGCCACACATTCAGAGATTGGCCCATCGCTCCAAGACTTCCTCAAACAAAGTACGTAGCACCGGCCATGATAATCTACTGTAGTCATCTAAAACTGTTTCCATGAGACCTGAGCTGTTATGTTTCATTGGATGTCATCACATTGCTTACTGTGATTAGAGACATTTATTTATTGCGTCACTATCGCACATGAAATCGCAGCAACCAGTTCAGGTTCATGCACGACTGCTGCTTTACCTTTAAAGTACTGGAGCTTAAGGTCTATCCACACAGTTGGTGTAAATGATATAAAGACAATATCCATGCAAACTTATGGAAAACAGCGAAGATCCCAAATAGATCGAACCATGATTACAAATGCCTCGTCTGTCTTCTGCCAGAGGAGCAAGAGAAGCTGAAGAAACTTCCTCCGAACAGAGTGGGAGCCAACTTTGATCACAGCTCGCATACAGACGCCAACTGGCTTCCGTCTTTTGGTCGAGTGTGGAACAGCGGTCGACGCTGGCAGTCCAGGTGAGCTCACGTAACGGACATAGAACGAGTGTAAACCAGCGCTGAGTTTATCAAGTATGTTTGTCTGCGCTACCAGCTGCTTTAGTAGGTGATCGTCAGGGTGCAGGGAAGCTTGAAATAGCAACACAGTTCAAGACAGTTAACTCAGATGTGTTAAAAAGAAGACTCCCTGAGATTTTTGATTTGATTTTTAAATATTTAATATTACTTTAAATCACATTGTTACTCAAAACCTCTGCAGTGAAGTGACGCCCCAGTTTATACACACATGCAGCACCCTATTACTGTTATTAGTATATTGCTGTAACCTACTTTCTCTCGTGTTGGGTTTTATCTGAGGACCATTTATGCACAAGCAAAATATGTAAATCTACATAATGTGGAGGTGAGACTGTAAGCACACGTTATGACCTTAAATCATCTTCTAGCTAACACAAACAGATCTGTAAATGACAGTCACTTGCCAAGTGATGAGGGAAACTCGACTGCCAGTTTGAAGCATCTTTATTCTACAAACTTTCGTACTGATATAATCTATTGATGATCATCACGGCAGCAAAACAATATTCTGCATCTGTTTTACTCCTTTTTAATAGCGTCTCCGTCATCTTTAGCACATGCTAACTCAAGCAAGCTGCCAAAAACACTTTCCGTTAAACACGTTCCTATTTTATCATATGAGCCAGAGTTGACATTTAAAAGGGCGCTTTGTGTTTGGACTCATTAGCTTCTCTTGACTCTACATGTGATTGTGACTTGTTTTGTTTTTTCCAACAGGCACCAGTTCAGACAGGAGGAGGGGAAGAAGAAGAGGCAGAAGAGGAAGAAGGATCACGGCACAGAGGGCTCGAAGAAAACAAAAGCGACCGAACAGCTGACAGATTTTGACAACGCTTAAAAGCGTAGTATGCTGTGTGAAGTCATGTGTATAGTTGACAAAATGTAAATGAGGTTTTGCGTATGTTTCTGAGGAGCTGCACTTGGTTGAAGTGCTCAGGCTGAGGAGACACTTCGTATATCCGAAAATGTATGCAACCGTTTTTATAACAAACCTGCAGCAAACGTATTAACTTAGTACAATAAGCATCGGCTAATGGGTTTGTTTCTGTTAGAAAGTTAGTTTGACTGTTGAATCTTTAGATTGGATAACATGCATATCAATGTCAGTTTGTTACACGCTGAGAGCTTTAAACCAACGTGATGCTGCCACTGAACTGCTCCACATTAAATTAACTGGAAATCTGTGACTTAAATGAAGTCCTGGACTGAAACTTTGGACACCGTGACTGTTCTGGCAAATGAACACATGGGGGCGCAAGCTACTCGAACACAACACACCTGCTGTGTGTTGAAGCCAACATGTCCCAATAACATGCTACACAAAAATGCATGAGTCACTTTTAATCATGTATGTACATTTTGTTTCCATGAAGCAAAAAAGAAAACTTAAGTTGCTGCATAATACTTAGTAGTTTTGTTTTTTTATGTATTCAGTATTATTTTGGAAACGAGCCTCAGTAGTAACACTCAGCAGCACTTCTCAGTGTTCCTCCAACAATAAACTTTGTTCTTTTTTTAAAGGGAACCTGTATACCAAGTGATGAGCTTTCATTTCCCTTTTCCGATCATGTTGTGTGATGAATTACTGGGAAAGGCTTGAAGGCTGTGTGCCCAAATGTCACTTTTAGATGAATAATGACCTTTAGATAAGTGAACCTTGTCGTGTATCTTCTGTCTCAGTAGAGTCAGCATGTCAGACTGTGTCTGTTAAAACCACAACGATCGGCCTGTTTCCTGGTAAGAAGGATGTTAGTTTTTGTGAGCGATCTGCTCGGTGGTGTCTTCGAGGACATTTGTGGCCTCCAGAAGCTTAACAAAAGACGGTCACAGGTAACAAAAACGCTCTGTTAATGGGACAGCTCAAGTGAAAGGACACCGCTTCACCAAGAATCTGCCACAAGTGTCCTCTGTTGTGTAGTTGTGTCACAAACTTGGCATGGTCAAACACGGACGATGCCCACGACTGGGCACAATACATGACAAAAGCTTGATTTACCGATTAGATAGAGGCATTTTGTGCCCATGGCGCTGTGGCTATAGGCCCTGAAAAACCTGAAAATCCAGCTTTTTGCTTATTTTGACAAAGCATAATTTGAAGGTGCTTAAACTTACTAATTGCTTTTGTGACATGGTCAGTGACTGTATTGCTACGGGGCATAACAGTACGGAGAGAAATGACTGGGCCAAAGCAGTACATGCAATAACCTATATTCCACTCCCTGAGCTTATAGCCCCCTCTTTTTTTTTTATCTTTTCAGTGCACAGCAGAGTATAATAAGGCCCCAGTGTGCGCTGGGTAAATGGGCGTGGAGCTCAGTGCAGCTGCAAGGCAATATGAGGATACAACGTGTAGCTGATCTATTCTTAGCCCTGTGACAACATGGCTATGGCCGATTCAGTGCAAACGGAAGAAAAGAAGTGCGTTACACTTGACTACGCATTTAACCGTCGTTCAATTATTTCCCCACGTTTTCTTGTCAGTGCTGTGTGACTTTAGAAAGTTTCCTGTTCACGTGGGATCGTGTCTTTTCTGTAGTTTCCCGTTAAATATTACAGGATCTAGTGAGTATCGGGGCTTCGGCACAAAAGCGATCCTTGGCACTAAAGACTGGGAGGAGAGGAAAAAGCACGTGTACTGGGCGGGGCTTGAGTTAATCCACTGGCCAATCACGGGGCGGCATTTTTGAATAAATCTGCATCTATTAAACCAGCCGTAATCTCTGGCTGCTGGTTGGTTGAGCGGAATCCAAGCGGCCAATCGCTTAAATGACAGGCGCTCAGCTGGTCGCGAAGCCCCGCCTTCTATATATACTCCAGCAAACCCCGGAAACGCTGTCGTTTAAAGAGACAGAGGAGGAATTTCAGGCAAAAGGTTGAGACAACGAAAACAGCTGCGAGCACAAAAAAAGACAGAGAGAGAGAGAGAGAGGGAGAGGAAGGGGACGTAGCTTAGTCAGCCGACAAGCGAGCTATGTGGCAGGACAGAGTGGGAGGACGAGACTGAAATTGACCGAGTGTTTCATCAGATGCACAGCTAGCTATATGTGGCTAGCCAGTTTTAGCTTCGAATCTTTTGAACGTTAGCTACCTGGACACCGACAACGCATCACTTCACACGGCAGAGAGATAACAAAAAGGCCAAACTCCCAGACGACAGAGAGGCGTCACTTCAGACTCCCGGAGTCCACCTTTTTTTTTTCTTTCTTTTTTTTTTTACACTGAGGTGAGTGGCCTTTAATATCATCGGCTTTTAATCTGCTGCTTTGTGTGAACTTGTATATGTGGCTGTGTGGAAATCAAACAAAGGTTCAGATTATTGAACTAGTGATTTCGATCCATTCTAAATCTTCGCACTATCCACATGCAGGTGGTTACAGGCATCGTTTTCTTAATTATGAATGTGGCTGAAGCATGAGTGGAATCCAGCCTAAGCCAGCTGATGACCTGCCTGACAGTAGCTTGCAGGGTGTAGGGGGCGTTCCCCTGCTTTGTCTGCCTTCCTCACACTTTGCTTTATGTGTGTGCATGCAGTCTGCGGTGCTTGACAGAAACCCCAATACATCAATCACCATCACGTCTGTCTGTGTGCGCTTGTGCGATCAAAATGCATGTGTGGATGCTTCATTTTGGTACAACTGCACACTCATGCCCTCCTGGGACTGTGCATATGTGGGCTACGCAAGGAGGAAGGATCAGCCAGCAGTGGCATATATCTGTGAGATTATGACTGTAGCTCAGCGGGTGGAATGATGGTGATCACTGTAAAGCTTACAGGAGAGAGGAGAGGACTGAGTGCAGTGGGTGTATTGTTCCTTTGGTTGGCACTTGGGAGTTGCATTATGCAGTGAGGAGAACCTTGATGTTGGCACAGAACCCTTGTTGAGATGCATGCAAAAATCTAGAGATTGTCAGTCTGTTAATACAGTGTTAGTATCCTCATCTGCAATGCCCTGCACTCCCATTGTCCTGACAAGCAGGGCATGATGGCATTGACATCCACATTAGTCACACGTGTATGCAGTCTCACACTGCATCACCCATACAGCACACGTGCACATGGGAACCTACCAGATGTCTCGCATGTATTTAAATTCACACGTATGTATGCACACATTGCAACAGCAAATCTATCTGCAACTCGTTTCTCTCTCTCCATCCCCTGCTTGTCCATGCGTTGCTCTGACAGCCACCCCCCACCTCTCTGTCTGGGAGAAAGCAGTGGGCTTTGTCCTCAGCTGAGTGTGACGTCATGCAGATCTTTGCTGTAACCAACCCTGAAGGAGAGGTGCATGTTGTTAAGCAGGCCTGGGTCTGGGCTTGTCCCATGCACAAAATGTTTTTTTGTTCCCAAAGTTCCCAAGTGCTGAAACGCACGGGGGAATTAAAAGGGAAGAAATAATTTGTTAGTCTCCTCACGTGTGACAGAGAAACTTAGAGAATCCTCTCACATCTAAAGGAAACGAAGGCAGGCAGGGATCAAAAACTCCACAAGGATGAGTGTGGGACACTTTTAGCATGAAAGGAAAACAACTCCAGGAAACCCCAGCAGTGACTGATCTCTTTGCCTGTAACAATACATTCAGCTTCATAGAAATATATCTGATGCTTCTCTACCTGCCGCCCAGCTGAGTACATTGAGTTAAGCAGGAATGTGGTCATGAGTGGCTGCGTGTTTTCTCATGGTAATACATGGAACCACCAGTATCTAGTTAGACTGCTTCGGGGATGACTGCATTATGTCCCTAACGTGAGGGTTTTAATGCTGTAAGAGCTCAGTTTGTCTTCAATGTCTGAGTAGATTAGATCCAGACTAACGACGTTACCGCCTCTTTCAAACATTAACCTGCAACTGGCTTCTGTTACTGTGACTTGCCTGCAGTTCAGCTACAGCACACTGTTTTATTCATGTGGAGTTCAGCAGATTACCTGTGACATTCTGAGTGAAGGGACATCATTCGTCCTGTGGTCCCCTGTGTACCACCCTTTTGTATGTGACGCTTACTGGGTGATGACAGTCTATGGTTGCATTTCTTCTTCTTTTTTTTTTTTAATGCATTTATACCTGGCAATACTTTGTATGTGTGTGTGCAAAGTGGGGATGGCTATTAAATGCTTTGAGCTGATGATGGCTTGTTGTCAGCCCTCCAATGTGTCTCTGCAGGATTTGATGTCAGAGATTACAGATGATTATGTGGGTTAGATCCAGTACTCAACACTGCTCTGGGGCTATATTGATCTCTAATGTGTATAGTGAGCGAGTGTGTGTGTGCGCATTGTACTCCCATCCTTATGAGCACTAAATTACCTCTCTTGAATATAGAACTCTTTACAGGGTGAGCTTTAAGTGCACAGAAAGGGACCTGACAAATACAGTGAATGCATACATACGTAGCCTGAAGCCGTCACCAAGAAACATTACACACTGGTCAACTGACAGGAACAACGTCTCTGTGGATTTAAGATATAGAAATACTACCTCCCCTTGTAGCTTCTCTTTCTATACGTCAGTATGAACCTTGTCCATCTGCCGACGGTGCAGAAACATAAAGGCGTCGTGTCGTAATGACCCCTGTGTCCTGTACTGAGCGGTACATGGTGACAGAACGAAATGACCTTCTCCTTGAGCCATTTTCTGTGGAAGCTCAGGACAGAAAATTGTACACATGTTGTTAACATTAACACATTAATCACAACGACGGAAGCCGGTACGTGGCGTGACTGTTTTTCACATTCAGTACATTATCTTATGACCCCCTCAGGGCTCCCAGCCCGGGTTTGAGAAAGACCGGGCCTATCGGAGGGATGCTCTCCGCTCGAGGATCCCTCATTCAGCCCAAGGACACAGAGCTGAGGCAGGCTGAGATCAAAGATAAAATTAACAAGAGGACAGGTCAGAGGGCAACGCAAACTGTGCCTGCATCATTTTCACCTTAATGATAACCAAATGTCCTCACGCTGCAGAACGAAGAGATTGTTCCGATTGTCCTCTCCTGTTTGAAGGAGATAAAGACCTTATAGGAATTCCATTTTTCAAAAACGTGTTATATACAGTAGTGCTTTTCTAATATCAGCTTATTGCTGAGCTCCTGAAATAGCACGTGCACAGCTTTGACAAGTGTCACTCTGACCCTGAAGTCCTCACTGTCACCTCTGCTCACTTGCACACAGATGAACTAAACCTAGCTTCAGGCTTACCAATAAAGGTCAGGTAGTCCACTTAACATTCTGTCAATAAGAAGAAGTAGTTAGTCCTCTTATAAACATGCAGTGTTTCTGTGTTTGTCACTCCTCGCTCTGTCTTACTGTTGGTTAGTAGATTAACCTACTTACAGGGCAGTGAAGTGAATGCCGATGAATCCGAGGATGCTGAGAGTGAGTGAGCTTTGGGAGATTGTTTCAGCAACTTGCACAGCAATGTGATAACGATGCAGGGTTTTTAAAGGGATTTGATTCATTATAATGGGTTTGATCTGAGCGGTTCAGCCTAAAATGTTAGATGCTGGAGTTGCCTAAATTGTGGGACTAAGAATAATAAGT